GGGGGGGAAAGCACACAAAACAGTGGAAGTCACTGTTGCTACCTTAGGAGAATCTCCTTAGTGGGATTTGAGTTCTCTTGGGAAGATATCAACACTGCTTGACTCAAATTCATGTACAGAAGCTCTTATTCTTTTCTTCAGCCAATGATGAATAGTTATACATTTATCACACAAAATTGTTGGGATACAACCTTCCTCCAGCCAAGAAAGTTCTGAAGAGAAGAAGGAAAGTTTACTAGGTGTCTTCTCCATGTTAAAATATAGGCCAAATTTCCATTAAATGGTGCTTAGTCTTTGCTTGGTGAAGAACTGAGCTCTCCTCCATTAATGGAGTAAAACTATTTTTGTTGCTCTACAAGCTAATTGATGAACCTTACACTAAGGTAAGAAGAAAATAGAGAGGAAGTATATTAATACTCAGCTTTTAATTAGCTACAGTACTTAACCAGGAACAGTCAGAAGGCAAAAGCATAATCATGTACTCAAGCATATTTTTGCCTTATTCTCCACCAGAGGAACTGGAAGAAGGAGGACGCCACCAAGCTATCCATAGTCTTGACCAGGAAAAAAAGTATTCCCCATTACTTCCAAAGAACTAAAAGTGACCCTCTTTATACAGGATAGTATAAAAAAAAATGCTTTATTAGATTATTTTCTTTTTCCTCCACACCCCACCCCTGTTCTTCCTACTCAGGAAATAACTGATAATCCTGATACAGACAAAGGAGGTACACAAAGTATGACCCATTTTCTAGGCTACCAACACAAGTTCAAATGCCAAGATCTGTAGGAAGTACAGAAATCACAACCCCTTGACCAAAGCAAAGGGGGCATGCTTTATTTCTGTATGTATTAAAAATCTGTAATTGTGGAGTTTGATAACCAAGCCTACATCTATGAAGGAAGTTAATTCAGTGTGGTTGTTGCAATTGCAAAGGCTACCTGAGGAACAGAAGACTAGAATATGTGAAATAGACAAAAACTTTGTGCATGTATGTAGAGCTACTCTAATGCTCAGATTATACTGAAAACATACAAGAACTTAGGAAAATTGGCAATACAGATAGAAGTACAGTGGGATTCCCGAGTGCAATAGTGGCTTGACTAAGTCGAGAGATTCTACCTCCTAGTTAGTTGCACAGATTGGTAAATTGCAATTTGCCAGAGACATTGAAGTAAACTTAGTTAAATGTTTTGTCACTTGTTATTCACCCATGAAATCAGAAAGATATGCAAGTTATTTGAAACTAGGAAATTTTATATTTGACAGGAAGGAGAACAAACACTAAGTCAGCAATTTCAGAGACATCAAATGGTTGAAGATATTTCTATTACTTTTCACATATTTGAATCAATAAAGAAATCATATGTGCAACAATCAAGTAATTCAGTATACTTCTAATCCTGCATTTACCTTGCAAATGGTTTTTGATTAAATAAGAGCTATAAGGCCATTCGATGCTTCAATGATAAGCAATCAACGGTCATTCAAGGCAACATGACAGCATACGAATTTCACTGCAGGCAAGTGCAAGGGTATACACAATGGGAGGAACAATCCAGCTGAACAGGCACATGCTGATGGGTTCTAGAATTAACTGAAACTGTTCAGAAAAAAAAAGTTAAGGGTCAAGATGAGCAGCTGACTGAGAATATCTGCTAAAAATGGAAAAAAACCCAACAGACAAAAAGTTAAAAGCTTTAAAGACAAAGAATAAATATTCCAAGCACTGTCCCATTGTTTAAGACTATTACATGATTTCACTTTATATATTTACTATCTAGCTATGAGACTTCTCTAAAATGAGCACAACGTGCTTCAGGGCTGGACCACAGATAGCAGAAAACAGATCTGGGAAAGGACAAAGGGGGTCAAAGTATAAAATCCTGCCTGTGACGAGATACTAAGTGACACTACATTTATTTTTATTTAAAATTATCTGATCATCACCTGAATTTTACATTTTTCTATTAGAATGAAAAAAAGGAAGAAAGAAGATAGCAATACTAAGCACAAGCTAATGAAAAGGAAATTAAGTTCTCTTTCACACAGACAGAAATTGAAGCTAAAAAGTTGAAGCAGTGGAAGAGCTGAAAGATTTGTGAATCAGGATCACTTTTCTTCAAACAATGCAAAATCCTATGAAATATAGTCACTGCCTGTGACTTAAGTCATTGCTTCATTGATGAATCCAGAAGTGTTTTAAATATTTACTCAGCCATTGATTACAAGCTAAAACTTTACTATATAAAATGTGGCTGTTCTAGTTGAGCAAAACTGAATGATTAGAATAAGATGTCAAATGTCTATCCAAGAGTGAGTCACTTCTAACAGCAGATTATAATTATTTACAGATATGATAATTCCCAAAGAAATAAATATTATTCTTATAAATTATTTAATTTAGGAGATTAAATAGAAGACAGTTAAAACCACATAAGTGACGAAAAACATGGTATTTCTCCACATAGTGCCAATTCCTTAATTTTGTCCCTTCACAGAATTTTTTTTTAAATCTTTAAGATTTAAGGATACTCAAGTTTCAATGTGTACTCATTTTTTTTTCCCCACTCGCAGTTATGGTAGTTATATTGGCCACTTGTAAAAAACATCTTAAATCATTCTGCACAGGCCTAGTTCTTACTGCACGATGAGCAAATTATGAACACTTCCACAAACAGCATTCCTAAAAAAATATTCAGATACAAGCTTTCTTGAACATTATTTCAGCTTTAATGAAGTCAGAACTGTAAACCATCAGAACAATTCTATACACCTATATACAGATTTTGGAACAAATACCACATTGAAACCATCACAATGACTAACTATCTATTACTTCCTATATACAATCAACTGAAACAACACAATTAAATATGCCTTAACTAGGAAATACAAGCATGCTTTTGCAAGATTATTTAGCTGTTCTTGATCGTAGCCGTCGCTTGATGATTAGGTGATCACTTTCCTTCTCCTTTTGTTCTATAAGGATCTGGAAAACATGATATTTCAAGAGTTAACTCAGCATTTCTTCAGGGACAAATGACATGCACTTCTAGACCCATGTAACCAACAACATGGTTTCTCCCAGCAGCTGTTTTCGGATTGAAATTTGCCTTTTATTTTTTAGTCAGAAGTCTCCAGGATAGAGAGATCCTTTTACTGCATCATAATAAGCAACAAATACTGGGAGCATTAAAAAAATTTCCATTTTTACTGAAACAAATACCAAAGTCCAAAGAAAAATGCAATCTGAAAGCAGCTCTCACTTCTAATCTCCAATACCAATTGTGTGAAAAAGGAAGTGTTCAGAAAACATGTTTTTAGCTTAAATTCCTTTAGCCTTCTCTGACTTTCTTGGGATTCAGTCTTTCACCTTTCCTTTCACTTCAAAGCTTCTTAGCTTCCTTTGATCTGCATTTCTGTCATTTTCTTCATCCTCCTATGGAGAGCATTTTGGTATCTGCCACATCCATTCATAAAATTTATAGAAGATTCAATAGGTTACCTCAGTATGGGCAAATGCTCACCATAGCAAAGGGAAGAAAGGATTGAATAGAATGAAGAGATGTACTTCCAACAAAAGCGGGAGTATATTCAGCACTAGAGTTACTGTCAAAACCATAAAGTTGTATTTCTGAAACAATACATCAAGCCCTGGCTGATAAAACTCTATAGGCTGTCTTAGACAGGGCAGCACAATTTAAGCACACCCAGAAGGTTACCCAAACTGTGCTTCAGAAAAGCATGGATTTATCCATATCCTAAAGTAACCCAAATATCAGCTGGGCATAAATGGAATCAATTGGAAATTATGTTAGGTGCTCACTTGTCCTGCAAAGTTAATTGCACATGCAGACCTTTATCTTTAGTTTCAATCATGCTATTCCAAATCTCTGGACCCCTTAATGGTCTCCATTTCTATTCTCCCTTTACACTGCATTCAATGAACACCAGCTACTGGAAAAACAAATTAAGGCTCCACTACTGTAAGAGTGGAATAAGTAATCCTCCACATACCACAACTACGGTATCTTATGAACCCATATTTAAAGACATCTCCAGGACTGCTGTATCACCTACACAGTAAGTCAGCAGTCAGACACAGAGAAGATAGGTAAGAAAATACAGAAAATTAAGTAGAACAGCAGGAAGACCAGACCAAAAGGAATGGTTAGGTAGAATCAAGAACTAAGTCAGTACTTTCAAACTTGTTCTGCAACTTGATCAGACCTTCAGGTTTGTTCTGTCCCTCTAATAGTTTATTTTAATCCAAGATTAAGAAATACATTAGAGTGGACAGAACAGTAACCTGTAATCACTTACTGAAGAAGCAGGAATATCTAGAGGGCAAGAAATGTCAGCTGAATACAGCTTTCTCCTAGTTCTTTTTGGCTTGAGCTCATTTTCTTTCACACTTTCTGGCTCTGCAGGCTTAGGAGAGCTTATTGTCGCAATCAGGTTCTTTGCTAGAAGAAAAAAATTTATCATAAATCAATGTCTTACTGGCTTTGTGACCTCTAAATTAATGAATAAAGCAAGCTTTATTAAAAACAGTTTAAAAGTGAAACAGATATAGTCTAAAGTTTAGATACAAAAATTCAGAAGTGGTATTTGACAACCAGAGTTTTCTACAGTTGGAAACAGTTTTCTATAGCTTCAGATGCAAAAGCTTAAAGGACACATTTAAATAGCACATTTTTAAAAAATGAATTAGAATTCAGGTTTCACTGGAAGTTAAACACTTCAACATGAGTTGAACAACAGGCTTAACTTCTTTGTGCTGTCAGAAGCACAAGTTAGAGTAAGTTTATGTACTTGTATAGTTCTATCAAAGTAGTACTAGCTCAATAGAGATGAATGTATGCATATTATGAGCTAAAAGGAAAGAAGAAATCCCAAACAATACCAAGTTATGCAAAAGAGGGAAAAATAAAGGAACTGGTAATAAAGGTTACAAACTAGAACCCATTTGCTCAAATTAAGTATTTTCAGAGTAAAAGTTTGAGTAGACTGAATTTGGCTTCCATTGATAATGATATATTGTCCTCATGGAACCAATCTGACAAACCTAGGAAATTTTAAAAGTCCCGTTATCATCATAAAAACTGTCTTACAGCAGATAAGACGTACTCTGTAGCAAGCCAAGTTTTCAAGCTGGTGCAGAGATCTTAATTTTAACTGTTCACATTGAATAACGACTGACCTTGTTTAAACCAACCAAATAATAGTGTCTGCTAGAATTTAACACTGGCAATTCCTTGTACCCTCTGCTGATTTAAATTTTTTTTTTTTTTAACACAGTAACTCAGAGATCATGTCTTACTGTAGCAAAGAACAAAATTATTTTATTCAGTGGGAAGTCCTAGCAGTTAGTCTTCCCAAAGCTAAAATTTAATGAATTCCATTAATTGCTTCATAGCCAGTTTATTGAAGTCTTCTTGATTTTTTTTCTAGAGCAGCAGAGCAAGTTTCTGAAATAGCCTTTAAGTGTTGTACTGTAAGCAAGAACAAAGTAAATCAGACATTTTGAGCTTAACAGCTACCGTTGCTTTTATAGTAAGTTTATATGCACATATTCCATGCTGCATCCTTTCATTCCACTTGGTTTACCTTTCACACTTAACCTAAATTTTAGAACCATGTGGTCCTTGCATTCAAGACAGCCTTCTCTGCTCTGCAAAATTCAGTATAGCAGGGCCCAGTTCAGACTCTATTTCATAAACAAAAGAACAACTTAATAAAGCAGGCACGCCCTTTAACAACCTACACATTAACAGATTTCAGTAGGGCAAAAAAGCCATTCCATAGTGCCCAGAGAACATGGAATAAGTCTTATTTATTTTGTACAAACCTTTAGAGTGAAAAATAGGAGAACTTTGGAAAAAATCTCCGATCTTTTGGAGTGTTCTATCTTTCTTTTTACTTGACTTATTACTTGAAGTAGAGTCATGCTTTCTTAAGGCATATTCTTTTCTCAACGACTGTGTAGTAGACATCTGTACAGAAACACAAGATCATTGTTTAAGCTGAAAATTGACTTATCTTCAAGTTTAATTCTACTTTGACTTCAATGTCAAAAAAGCTGACATTTCGAGCTTTGCTACTAACACCTCTGTTCATTATACCAATGATACTACCACAGCAAGCGATGTAGAAAACCTAATTTTATACCCAGAAGAAAAAAAAAATTGTTAAAGTTACACAGAACGCATTTTAGGTCATAATGTTGCTTAAAAAAAAAAATAAAATTCAGAGTTGTAGAGTATTTCATTAGACAAGCTGTTGCAGTTATAAGTAAAACAGGAGGAAACTGATGGGGAAAATAAATCTACTACCCACCCTCTGAACTCGCCTGGGTTACTACTAAGGCCTAAAATCACCTTTTTGTAATTGTCTGCATATAGATGTCTTTTTTTTTTACTTCAAAGGCATTGCTTATAACATCACGTACACTAACAGTATGTTTAAACTAGTCTTCAAAGCTATTCAATATGCAACATTCTTCCTCTTTGAAGCACTGTACACTGCAGTCAGTACACATTCTTGGCAAATACAGACTTACTCTCCTTGTTTAGCTTATAGAGTTTAGTAGGAAGACAACGTAAGTGTTTAAGAATCCTATTCAAGTACACAGATAAGGATAAGATACTGCTGCCTAAGAATGTTTACTCCTTTCACAAGTCCACCTTCACAGAAAAAGCCAAATTAACTTCAAAAATAAAACAAAACCAAACCATTTTCTTGTTGCTTGTAGAAGGTGAATTGGTCATAGCAGGTTCTGCATTTTTCTTCTTCTTCTTACTTTTCACAAAATCCTAAGAAAATAAATATGACAAATTTTAACTAGGATTTTTCTGGAAAGAACAATTATTTACACTAAAAAGCAGTCACTGTTTAAATGCTATGAGTAGGGAGGCATTGGCTAATACTGAATAAAAGTAACTATTCAAATGAAAATTAAACACTAAAACTTGTGAAAGGGAACTAGAAATACCCGTAGTCAAACCATCCTGACATTTACTAATTTCTTCTCTCCATTATTTCCTGTACTTCTGGTTTTAAGAGAGTTGACAAGTGAACACACAAATTGAAGTTAAGTCAACATAACTAAAAGTAAATTCAGATTTATGGTGACAACTATAAATAGAGGTTGGTAGCATAGTACCATTTGAAGCTGTCATTAAAAGACGTCTTCTATCTTGTGAAGCAGTGCCAAGAGATTTCAGATAACTGATACCCATATTGACTGAAAACAGCGTCAGAAAAGG